TCACAACTCGGTTTTTCATGAGCGAACTAAGCACATTGAGATCGATTGTCATCTTACTCGTCATCATCTCAAGCATGGCACCATTGCTTTGCCTTTTGTTCTTCTTCCTTGCAGATTGCAGATTTCTTCACCAAGGCACATTCCATCTCTCGTTTTTGTTTTCTAGTTGGCAAACTCTCGATGCTTGTAGCTGCCGCATCGTGAGTTTGAGGGGAGATGTTAAATAATATTTATATAGTCTTATTTATTAAGGGTAGAATAATACTTTCAGTTTAATCTATATGTACTTTATTTGTATTTAGGTTAAGGTTAAGCATTCATAATATACAGATTATTCAGAATTCTAGCCTCCTTTTTGTGTTTAATCTTAATTATTTTAACAACAATCACTTTCAAATTTCTTCATGGAAAGATATGCAATGATGCTTTATCTTGAAGAAAATAGGAACAAAGTTCCTCTCTCCTTTCCTTGCTATTATTCTGAGTGAACAATATAGTTGGAGGATAATATTTTCGATTACTTATCTTTTTACCTCACCTTAATTTTTCCCTCCAAAGGTTATTTGTTACATTCACCCCCCTCAACTTCTATTTTTATCTAAACACCTTCCTAAGGTCAAATTGCCATAAAGATTTAATCCAAGATAAAATGATGTGTCAAAGATCTCTTATAAAATTTCACTATGATCTAACAATTGGATTAAATGACAATTGGTAATTTACGTAAAAAAAATTCAAATTTTGCGCATTATTTTATTCATTTAAATCATTGTGAAATATTCCTCTAAATTCATTATTATTAATTAAACATTACAATATTTATCACTGATTCACAATTTGTTTTTTAAATTAGAGCTTCACAAATTAAATAGGGCTTAACAAATAATTTAGGTGTTATTTACGGGTGAATTTAGAGGTAAATTGTGGTTAGGTAGTTATTGCATATCAGAAACATAACATTTGATAAATATTGCATTTTTCAATCGCAACTTCTTTATATGTCATGTACAATTATGTTATTTCACAATTTTTTGTAGCCATGTCATTAATTTTACCAAAAAAATTAATTTGTGCTAATAAGCAAAAATAGCTAGAAAACTTCACAGACACATAAAATGGCCTCGTTGTACAATCATTTTTTTATTGTGATTGATTCATGTCTTCGTTATTCATTATATCCAGCATTTTCCTGGAAAAAATAATTTATACCTACGTAAGTTTTAAACGCTATTTATATTCATAAAAAGATGGTATCACAGGAGATCTTGCAATTTAAAGGGGGAAGAAAAAAAAAACAAATGTGAGTGAAAATCCCAAGGGGAAAATTAAAAACCAGGATATGAAGAGGAGATAAATAGATTATTTGCCAAGAAAAAAACTATAAAGTTTGTCCAAGACAAGAACATGTATGCTTTCAGGACATAGTTACCTTACGGGCAATGAAAATGAAGAATTCTGAGAAAGGAAAACACTTGACTTGGCGAGCTTTGATGATGAGGGATTCCGTCCAGTATCCAAAAACACTTGTGTGGAATCAAAACTTTTGTTTGAGAAACAGTTAAGGATGCATGCAAAAGATTTACTCCAAACATACGTACGCAAAGAATTAATTGTATTCAAGTAATAAACAAACTGAATCACGCGTACAGAATTCAGGATAGATTGTAACGATTCAGTGCCATAGAAATTTATTAAAAAAGATTATTGCCATGACATGTACTGAATATATATTATCAGATGGTTGCAAAGAGTGTCTTCCAGCAGAAAAGTAAGATAGTATCTACCCAGTGTGCGGTCCATTATCGAACATGCAGAATGGAAATCAATTATTTGCAAGAATTCGAACTTTGCTCATGAAAATGACTTCAATCTTTGAATCGGAGCATTAGGATTGGAAGCACAGCTTGCAAAGGACGACCAGCTGCAACCATGGAATTTTTTCATGTCTGCCTTTTCCCATGGTCGGTTTCCTCTTTGCGGCGGAAAAATCCTAGATTTCCTGCTGCTGGAAGAATCTTTAGACTTGAAGCTCCAGAACCTGGACATGTATCGCTGATGCCATCCTCGTTTTACATATATCTACGTTGAATTTTGCATTTCGACGTTAGGATTGTTTCTCAGTCCTTCCTATCTTGCATAGTAAAGAGATCTATAACTATTTTAAGAATTTTGGAACAATTATTGTTTCCCTTTTTCTCTTTGTGAAATTGAGAATACGATGCACCCTTCAACATTTTTATTATGCCTGTCCCGTTTGCAACAACATTTCATTGTTCATTTTCCTGATCTGCAGTTGTCATACTGAAATGTTTTTCTAATGTTGCTCTTTGCCCAAGCATTGTCCAGTAAGGAAAGAGAGGAGGCCATGTATCTGCTATTCTAGCGTTAAATCGGTTATCGCCTGGAATCTTAATTCCTGGTTCATATTATGAAACGGCCTACTGGAGATTTATAGTATGTGTACTGTTCTGGATGAAGTATGAGGTAAGAGATAAGATGATTACAGCTACATGATTATATCTACTATCTGCTTATGAAATCTAAGTCAAGTGATTTGAGACAGCAACTGACCTGACTAGCATGGCATTTCCCTTCTGAAACTGAAACGTAAGGGTGGGGTAGTGGTAAGACCGTCTGATTTTCACCAGCTTCATTAGCCAATGCAAGATCTCTTAGCCTGTTCAGCTCCGGCAAAACCACTGATGCAAGGTCTGGCCTATCCTTTTTCCTCAGCTCACAGCACTTCAACGCCAGTTTTGCAAGCGATAACGCCTCTTCTACAGGCCAATCTGTCTGTGTATGGTCAAGAATATCTGAAAAGGTTCCTTCCTCAATGGCCTGCGCAACCTGGTGGGATAGACCCATAGGATTCTTTGCTGTAATAAGCTGTAACAGTACTATACCCAATGAATATATATCTGACTTGACGCCTAACAGTCCTGTCTGCTGATATTCTGGATCAATATAGCAAAATGTGCCAGCTGCTTCTGTCTGGCAATATTGAGAAATATTGTCAGCCATAGCTAGCGGAACAAGCCTGGCCAAACCCACATCCGAAATCTTGCTCACATAATTCCTATCTAAGAGGATGTTTCCGGGCTTAAGATCGCGATGCACCAACGATTCTGGTTTTGTTTCATGAAGGAAAAGTAGGCCTGTGGAGATTTCACAAGCTATGCTGAAACGTTTTTTCCATGGGATTGGAGGAGTGTTGCCTTTCCTGAAGAGGCAGTCTTCCAAGCTGCCCTTTTCCATATACTCATACACGAGGCATCCATACTCTGGGCAGGCACCAAGCAGGATAACCATATGTGGATGTCTCACGTTGCTCAAAACCTGAACCTGTGTTGATAACATGGGTTGTTAACTTATTAAAACAGAAGGAATTAAAGGCTACAAGCTAATTGTCATGTTGCTATGCTTTCTTATTTCTTCCTCATCACATGCTCGCTTCTTTGATCTGTGTTTTTGCTGAGAACCGAACAAAAAGCAAGTTTACGACCTATATCATTGTCAATTTACATTGTTTAGCTTTTGAAGTTGTAGGAGAGGAGGTTCAATTAATCTGGCACATGCTGATTCCACTAAAGGGTTGTAGTATTCTCAAGCATTTAAAAATGAAATCAACATGCGTGTTCGTTCCTTCAGGTTCACTGGAATGCAAAAACTGAGCATCTGCAACTCAGCATGCTTGCCATAATCTTCAACCATTCTCCACTTAGATTGCCATTCTTCTTCTTTTTTTGTTTTTCTTCTTCAAGTTTTCATTTCTACAAAGATTGCCTCTTAGCATCATGATCACTCATAGCTAGTAAGATGGATATCGGGCATTTCTAAAATACAAGTTAGCATGTTACTGTCAAATCTACATTGCCATCTAAGTTGCATTATCATCTTTGTGTATACTCGAAAGTTGTAACCTTGCTGAAAAATTGAGCCTAACCTAGGTTTCAAATTCTAAAAAATTTAACAGTTGCAAATAACAAATAAAAGAATGATAAGCTTACATTTATGCAGCGTGCTACACTAACAAAATAATATACGATACCTCTTTATGAAATTGTCTCTGGCCCTGCGACAAGTCTGGTCTCAAAACTTTGATGGCAACCGGAGTATGATCAAGTGTGGCTTTGAAAACAGGTCCGTATCCTCCTTCACCGATCTTGTTGGAGCTCTCAAAGTAATTTGTCGCAACTTCTATCTCTTCAATAGTATATTTGCGATATAGCACGCTATTATGTGCCAAATATTTTGTTGCTTTTTTCCTTTCTTCTGCCTCTTGTGTGGCTCTCTTTTCTGCGGTATGTCTCTTCTGAACTTCCATTTGTGCGAGCATCTGTGCCATTTTTGCTGCTTCTATAGCTGTCTTGGCCTTTTGCTTCTCCATCTCTGCCAATGACAGTGCAGCCTCCTCAGCAAGCTTTGCTTCATCTAATTTACGTGTTTTCAATGCATGCAAACGCTGAAGCTGACTTGCCTAAAAACAAAACAAACATAGAATAAGCTTACTCATGCACACTCAAAAGCTCATAAATCTTATCTAATCTATGATTACGATATTACCATATGTCTGGCCATAACAGCTTCTTTGCAAACTGAACTATACATTTCCATAGATTGCTTCAATTCGAGTTTTAGTCTCCTTATTTCTGCTTCCACCACATTCTGCGACAAAGAACAATATTTATTTCAATAATGTTGTGATATCTACCGCTTTAATGGAATTCTAAAATTTCTATAAGCCCTAGGCAGGACCTGCACATGACTGTTTCTTAACTGCACGTTTAATCGGTTCTTTTACAATAAAATAATTTTCATGCTTGAATTTTATACATGCAGCTTGATCCTGAATATCAGGAATCTCAAAATACAAATGATCTCTAAAAAGTCTAGCTAAAGTCTTTGTTGACATGATTACATTTTCACAGTGCTGAAAACAGAATTAACTATGGTTCAAAAAGCGAAGAGCATCATCCAACTTGTCCACACTAAGGAGCACCTTTCCCCTATAACTCCTATTTTAACTTTGAATATGCATCTTATAATGATTTTGGAAATGAAGTCAAATGTCTTGGAGCAGTTGGAGACTGTCACCATCCTGGTTGAAGATTTGATACAATGGCCCTAATCAACTTTTAATGAGAGAGATACTCACTGGGATTGGTGAGAAGTCCCTAGGACTTTCTGATGTTATTGAGAATTCAAAATCTTCAGAGGAAATTTCAGTTGATACTACACTTGGTGGCCCTGAAAATTCACCGAGACACGATACAAAATCTCCTTTCAACGCATGCGGCGCTCGACCATCCATTGATGTTTTAAGAGTCTGGTAGCTGAATGTACGCTCCTCACATGGTGCCATCGACAGAGGATTGCTGTTTTTGCAAAAAGAAATTGTATCAAAACATTTACTTTTCCAACTTGCATGACTTAAATTGTATTTTTCCGCTAGCAACTGAGATTTCGGTAAGCAAGAAGTACACCGCTTCTAAGTGCACTCTTATCTACTGAGAACATCCATGATTGGATTAATTAAGCTAAGCTTACAAATACTGACCAATTTACTATGATCATAACCTCATTATGGCAGTCGGATGTTCTTCTTTTCAGTAAGTCTCAAGAATGAATGAACAACATTTTGAAACCTTTGACCGTCAAGACAGAAGTTATGATACTCTCCAAGCAAAAAAATATCATCAATCATATTCCAAAACTTACATAGTAATATCTTCATGTTTTGGGCTATCGGATAGAAGATATGGTAAAAAACCCTGGTGATTTTGTTGCCTTGTAGTTTCAATATGAGTAAGCATTTGAAGGCGCCTGGGAGTAGTAGGTGGTGTTTTAGGTGCTTGAGGCTGCCCTGGAGTAGCAGCACCTCTTGGTATTCGAACATGCCTTCGGTGAGAAGCATCACTAGTAGGTGTTTCAGGTTTCCTTGGACCAATAGCGGGACTAGTCGGTGTTTGAGGTTGCGCTGGACTTTTAGCAGCACTAGAGGGTGTCTGAGGTCGAGTTTGGGACTGAATTTTTCCTCTTGAGATAACATATACTCCACATGATTCTGGAGCAAGTTTTAGTAAGCTAGATGGAATATCTAGATTCCTAAATTTCCTGCATGAAGAAGATCGCCGTAGGTTACAATTTTTAACTTTCCAATTGCAAAAGCAGTACGGTTTTATCAATTGATATGTATATTAACGCATAACTTGTCCCTGCTTATTAAAGCATAAATTAGCAATGTGCTGGAACTGCTCATAGCTGCAAGAGCTCTTGCTTTCTATGATGACAGTTGATGTTTTTCAAGAAAACCTAAACATTTGAAGCCAAAAACTACGACAGATCTCATTTGATTCAATACAGTTTCGTATCCACCAAAACTACGAAGTATGTGATGTGTGTGCGCGTGCGCAGAAAGAGAGGGGGAGACCTTGTTAGAGGATTCCTGGTGGAAGCACCGAGAATAATATTGTCAACGCAGTTGTTACCAATATAATCAACTAGTGCTCTTGCAATATCGATATCATGGATGACTACTTCCTTCAATTCAACCTGAAATCCCAAAAAAAAAAAATCAAGGAATCAGCACATAGGCAGGGTTCAATGAGATCTTCTATACATGTTTGGTCTTTTCCAACTACGGTATTATGCAAATGCGGCCATTGTAATGGGTGCAGCACCAAAAACAAATATAACAAGATCATGGAGCTTGCAATGCCCTTTTATGGAGACATGTTTATGAAAATTACTCACTCCTTTTCGAGCACAAAATCCACGATATGGAAGGAATAGCTGCACCTCCTGCTTAGTTGGTGGACGACCCTCTTTTGGTACAGCATCAAAACCCTCTGGGAAGCCAAGGAAACACAAAATCAAACACAATATTGATTAAGGCAACAATCTGTAATGCCATCCTCAATAATTTCGGTCCCAAATGGAGTTAACGCAGCATATATGATACAAACAGATAGCTTGAACTTTATTTAAAGGTTCAGCATTATCACGGATGCCTTTCGGCTGGGGCTAGCTCAGATTATAAAGGGAGTGGCACCTTGGCTAGCTAGACATCCTGCCTTTGTTCGAGCTGCAATGCTCTCCAAATTTGAACAAGAAAAAAGACCATGTGTAGCTCAAAGGGCGTTCTATTCTGAGTTTGAACTCGTGTTTTGTCTTCAATACTTGTAATTTCCAATAACATTAGTAATGTCAGTTATACATGATCCTTTCTCATAAAATATCACAGAATATATCATCATGCCTCAAATTCCTTGGAAAAACAAATTATCATCTTGTACATAATGTTTTCACATTTGAGGAAATAGTGCTCTGTTGATGATGGAATTAATTAGGAGCTACTTACGAGGGTTAAAGGTTTTAATTCGAACATGAACAAGGATGAAATGACGGCTTTTGTGGTTAAAAAAGTTCTCTACAGCCCATTTCACTGCAAGCTGGCTGTTCTTGTCTTCATCAATTGCAATAGCTGTGATTCCGTGCTTTTCTTCCACTTCGGATAAATTTGGTAGCAACAAAGCCATGGAGGATGCATGGAAACACTGAGAAAACTAGACCACAAAAACCAGATGAGGTAACGCTAAAGTTTCATGTCCAAAATTGAGCTGAACAGAAAGAAGATCACAACGCTGCATTGTTATATATAAGAAAGAAGATGGCTTTAATTTCCTGCCAACATAACCGTCTGGTTACAGTGTTTTAGCTAAATTTAGTTAGAAAAATGACATTGATGACAAGGAAAACAAAAACATTAGCCAGCCACAGCCAGCAGCCAGCAGCCAGCTCCGTAACTATATATTTCCTTCTCTGGATTGATGCTGTTAAGTTAGTTTTGTTTCTTGACAACACACTTGTTTTAGTGTTAGTTGTTTGTTGTGATTGACGATTAATTTTCTGAAACAAAGATGCTTTGCCGGGGAAACTAAATTTAGAATATGTAGATTATGGTAATTTAATTACTTCTTATATATATATATATATTTCCAGGCATCTATTTCTAGCTGTTGCTTTTAGTATATTTGTGGTTGCCAATTATCTCAAACGGGTAGTTCAACTGATATTAGTACGTATTCCAAAGCTTATAGTAATTATTCATAAGTTCAAGCTCAAAGTGTCCATTTTGTAGCTTTTAACTTTTGCCTTCCAGATGACTTTCCAGAATTTTACCGATTTTCTTTCCTTCCGTAACAAAGCCTGCCATCCTTCTCATATATGATGTTTTAGGCAAAGGGGAATTGTGTTCTTTTGTCGTTGGGAAAGTGGATGGGTGCGTTTACATGTGTTCTTGAGAGGTAGAATTGATCAGCTTATCATCTTGAAACATCTTTTGCAGGCTACAATAAAGCTTTCAAATCTGAGATATGGTCTCTGATAAAGCGAATCTTGAGATATAATCTATTCAATTTTCCTACACTTCCTATACTAGTTGTTTGACAGCTGTAGTTGACAGTGTGAGGCTGTAAGCTTTAGCATGCTGACAAAATGTTTTGCCATGTCTCACAAACTAGTTAAAAGGCATTGCATTTCAAGGGATAATTATAACTTGTATTAACCCTACTTCTTTTTTCCCTTCATTGTTTTATTTTAATAAACACGAGCCAAGAAGGAAATCAACTTTACATTATATAAGTTAACTAAGTATAATAAAAGAAATGAAAAGTATAAATAAGAGATTAATGAAAACAAAACTTAAGCATTACAAAAATATAAAAAGAGAGAGCAAGAACATGATCTTGATAAGAAAAACAAGATGCCCAAATGAATGACAAATATCTCCTTTTATAGGCTAAAATTCGAAACTATTCATGTGGGAATTGATACTTGATGTAGTGGCCAACTATTGATTAGTGGACTTAGTGAACAGCATCACTGAAGCACTTTGGATGACTGAATGGACATTGATGCAATTAAAATTTGACAAAGTGTTCTTCATGAAAGTTGTTGGAAATTATCTTTTCCTTCCACCCACCAAATTTTAAATCATTTAAACTTCTAGAACTGTAGTTATGGGTAAAACTTTGAACAGTATTTGGGTTGGATTGCAAGACAGATTCGGACTTCTCTTTTGTGGCCAAACTTTGAATTTAAAAATGGAAAATTTAGGTCTTTCCATACCCATGAAAGTTGTAGGCCTATTTCTTATCTTTCCATCCATATAAATTAATATGAAATTCAAGATCTATAGCTTTAGATATGATTCGATGACTGAATAGTGTTCGAATTTAAAGTGAATCGGCATCTCCTTCGTAAGCTTAGCCTTTTCTTTGTCCTTTCACTTATAATAGTTAATCACAATAATCAATCATTTGAATTATGAGAATACCTGTATTTAAAATGAGCATTTACCATAAATTTTAAGGTATCTTATATTATCAGACTTGTTATTATAAAACATGTTCTAGTTAAGGAGTTATTGATACTTCAAGTACAAAATGATGATATAAAGCCTTGATAAAAATGCACTTTTAAGTACTAATCACACCCCCCAACCAACTTATTACTAGTCCCTAGTAATCAAAGTGTTAAAATAGAAAAATAATTTGCAAGTTTTTCAAAGCAAGGTATTCATTATTTAACTTCCATTACTCTATTCAAGTAAACAAACTCTCATTAAATTTATATATATCTGCTTCATATTGTTAAAATAAGATATTAATAAATCTTTTTTTTTATGTGCTCAATGTATGAAAACATTGATGATGGGGCTTTTATTAGAAGAAAACGATATTATGTTCTAATGTTTAAGGTTAACGTCCTTGGATTGAGATTATTATTTTTTATATATATATACATATAACTTAAAACACAATGCATCTGTAACCCATATAATGAGTTTTCGGCTAATAACTCTCAGACTAGTTGATCTTAAAGCATTAGGTGTTGAGACACCCCTTCAAGCTTAATAACTCAGGTTGCAGAAACTGATACATAGATAATGCAATGTTTAATTTCCTTAAACTTTTCTCCTCAATCCATGTAATAAGCGTTGAGTCAATAGCTCCCAAGTTAGTTGACTTTAGGGTATTAGGTGTTAAAAGATCCTTTCGGGCTTAATAACTCAGGTTAAGGAGGCTACGAAACCAAACGTATCTATATTTTTATTTATTTTATTTTTTTAATTACATTTATAATCATTTTTATTTTTTTTCCTTTGTATTTTTCTTTTTTTTACAAATTATATACTATCACTTTCCTTTAGTTGTTACCTTTAACAGAAGAACATAAATAATGTAATAATCCAATATGCAACCCACAGTCACATGTTGAAGTGTGTGTGTGTGAAAATGAAGGTTTAAAAATACTTATTTTAATGAGTATATGAGCAGAAGTAATAAATAATAATGCGACAGTTTGTAAACCTAAATATTTCAAGAAGTATTATAATAGATCTTGTTAAAAATGTTTACTAGGATGTGTCTCAAGAGTCACTCTAACAAAAGAACTCCTTGACTCTGCCAACATGGTAACAATGGTTTTGCAAATAAAAAACACAACTAGTAAAGTTTTTTTTTTATAAATATCAACTACTATCCTTTCCTCCCAACCAAAACGAAACATTGTCCTCAATGTTCAGAGTGTAGAAGATATCACCTCAAATAATGAACACTAACAAACCTGAAACACACTTAAAAAAATAGAAGAAATAACAAAACAAAATAATAAAACACAAGGTTTCACAAACAAAGGCTCAAATCCAATCTAAGCTTTTTTACGGTTGTCCTTAATTGACCAATTTATGTGACTCATGGAGCGATCAATTATAGGAGTGAAAGATCGTAGTTGGTCAATCAATTATTCAGCAGTAGCAGCAGAGATTATGATTTGTCATGCTGAAGACGTTAGAAATTCCTGTTCCACAGCATGATCAAGAAAAGACAACAACTTATCATATTAACCATTAACATTTAACAAACCAATGGGTTTATGGTGAATGTGAAGTTGGGCCCAAGAGAAAATATGAAAGATCTCTTCCAATGTGTCCAGACCACCTAGCAAGGCAATGAAGGCATCAACATGTTTAAACATTGTATTCATTCGATCAGACATTGTGAAGACCTGTAGTTTCTCTCTAATTGTTATTCCAATAATATCACCATTTATGAAAGCTTTGGGGACAACCCCCAAAACGTGACTACCTCCTAAAAATACAATTATTGACACACCCCTCATTAACCTAAAGCTACCTCCTTCATACACCAAATAAATCTTTCTTGCAGCTAATACCTGACTAAGATGATTTGCTTATTTTAAAAACTCATTTTCTTTCTCAGGACTAGATCCACCAAAAACACAAATATTTCGTATTTGATGACTTGAGAAACTTGTCATTTCTACACACTTTGATATCTGTGGAATATGTGGGTTGATTAGAAATAAAAGAAATAAAAAGAAGAATTTATAGATAAGAAAGTGAAAATGCAATCATATCACCTATATGTAGGCTAGTTGGAGTCTCTCTCTCTCTTTTATTATTATATTTTTTTTAAAAAAAAAACATGTGTATGTACAAGAAGTTGTGATTCTGGCTCACATCTTCTCTTGGTTTTACGTCCAAGAATAGCTTAAATGCCCTATATGAGTCCGGGATAGGCTTCCCATCCAGTTTTCTTAAAAACTGGTAAATAGGGTCTTTTTTAGTCAGATTCCCAAGACTATGTCGAGCATGTTCTTTATGGAATTGTGGTCATAAATCATAAATTGCATGATGCACATCTCCAATAGTCTCAAGAGTCAATAGAAGATTATCTACAGACTCCTTACTCAGGCCATCCTTAATGAACTGTATTTTATCTTCACGATTTATAGATACCATTTCTAAATAACAACATTTTGTATTACAAGTCCATCTGGCACATCTGTTGTTGCGATGTCGCGGTCGCACAAATTAATTACCCTAGCTTAAAACACACAAGATAGTATAGAGCAAGCAAGGGATCGATCCCACGAGGAAGATTTAGTTCAGATTTTTATGCTATACGTTATGCAATTGGGGGGTTTTGATTTGGGATAATCTAAAATATGGAAGAAATTAAACTAGTGAACACAATCAATTGAAACTGAAATTTATCAAGAAAACAAACCTTGGTCACAAGCACACATCCACCTACAGAAATCAGAACCGATCCTCGAAACGAAACTCCAGTTTATATTCTGAATTTTTATCTTTTCTTAACTTTGGTTAATTAACGGATCCGCCGTATAACTAGCCCTAACCAACAAATAATCACAGTGTCCGCACTAATGATTTAATCTAATGGCAGCCTTAAGATCTAGATAAATTCATTAATCTTAACAACCAAGTTGTCTGCTTGTGTTGCTTTGATCGAATGTTTTCCCTAAGTTTAATAACGTAGTTCCGCCACAATTATCAAGCTTAGTTGCTTCACAAGTTTATATACCCTAACTCCGGTTCTGATATCAAACTTAGCAATAGATTGTTCACAATAATAACTTAGAGTCCGCTCTAGCAATTATCAACAACAATCATAGAAAATATGCATAGGAAAACAATCATACTCATTCA